AATAAACATGTCTTCAGCAGAAAATTTTGAAAAGTTAAAACGAAAGCACAGTATTGAAAGAAGCAGTACTACTAAACTAATTTCAAGAATTGATGTTGCTAAAGCAGATGAAAATGTTACATGTGATATCTTAGACGAATATCTAGAAGTTTTAATAGAGAAAATGAATAAACTTAAGTCCTTAGATAGTCAAATTAAACATTTCATTGATGTAAACTTAATTGAGGAAGAAGTAAACACTAGTACTGATTACCAAGAAAAATGTCTCAGGTATACTAACAAACTTAAACGCTTATTGAAACAGAGTCTTTTTCTAACTCGTCGACATCTGAAAAACTGTTAAGTACTCCGAATTTACCCTCTTCAATTAAACTTCCTAAGTTAACAATCAAATCGTATTCAGAAGATCCGAAATTGTAGAATGAATTCTGGAATTCGTTCGAAACCACTATCGATCGAAATGATTCACTTTCGAAAATTGAAAGGCTTGCCTATTTAAAAACATACTTGACTGGATGAGCTTTAAGTGTAGTATCTGGTTTTCAGCTAACTGATAAAAATTACGAAAACTGTGTTACTTAAAGATCGTTTTGGTCAAAAACGATCATCATTGATTCTTTTCTGAGTAAACTTTTAAACTTGCAAAGTATTAAAAAATCTTCAAATGTTCCAACTTTGAGAAAGTTATATGATGAGCTCGATATCGCTATACGAAATTTAGATTCACTGCAAGAGCATTCAAAATCCTATGGTCCACTTTTGATTTCAATTGCTCTAAATTTATTGCCAGAAAATATTGTTTTAGATTTTAAGCAAAACACATATTCAAAATGCGATGTAACAATTTAACTTTACGTGACAGAAAAGATTTATCAGCAAATTCCAGTAATTACCAGTCATCTAAATGTTATAATTGTAATGGATTTTGTCATTTATCTAAATTTTGTCCCGACCAACACCACGAACTTAAATGTTTATCTTGTGGAAATATCGGTCATAAATCCTTTACCTGTGTTAAGAAAACTCCGAAGCAAATTGACAAAAACAACAGTCCAATATCTGAAAAAACGAATGCTCTGTCACACCAATCAACTTTCATGCGCCGAACCTACTCCATAAAGTAATAAAAATTAATGATATATCACTCACCGCTATCATTGATACGGAAGCGAAGCAACGTTCTGTCTACCGACTTTTATAAACAAATCGGGAATTCCTTTTTAAGTGTGTTTCATAATATGTTCACTGGCTTTGGTAATGACAAAATTAAACCAATGGGTTATTAATTGGGCTGACATTTTAATAGATACGGAATTATTTACGACTAATGCTCATGTAGTAGACAGTAATGTAATGCCATTTGACGCTATAATTGGCATGGATATTCTTAAACAGTGTGAAGTTAACATAAACAAAGATGGTGTTCATATTTCTAAGCATGTTGTTAAACAAAATGTTCCGGAAGATGTGTACATCAATAACATTTCCCTTAATCAAACATTTGAACTAGAAATAGGTCCTACTGCTACAAAAGAACAAGTTAGAATTATTAAAAATTTTGTATCCGATTACAGATCTCTTAAAACCAAAACTACGAACAATGCGATGACTATTCAAGTAAAAGATAAAACACCTATTTTTCACAGACCTCGACGATTACCTTTTGTCGAAAGACACATTTAGACAAGCAAATTCAAACTTGGTTAACCGACGGCATAATTGAACCTTGTTCTTCGGAATATTCTAGTCAAGTTGTAGTATTATGGGGAAAAAAAAAAAAACCACGGCAACCCTAGAGTTTGTATTGACTATCGGAAATTAAACAAGAAAATAATTAAAGATCGGTATCCCTTACCCTTAATAGAAGACTTATTGGATAAACTACAAGATGCTCGTACATTCACTACAATCGATTTAAAAAAATGTTTCTTTTCCATGTTAGTGTCGACAAAAACATCCGACATTACACTTCAACTTGTCACACATAATGGGCAATATCAAGTTTCTACGTGTACCTTTCAGTCTGTACTTCTCCTTCTGTATTTCAAAGATTTGTAAATTCCGTTTTCAAGGATTTAATCTTGCAAGGTCATGTTTTACTGTATCTTGATGATATCATAATTCCTGCTAAAGATGAAGATGAAGGGATTCAGCGTTTGAAATCCGTTTTCTCAGTTGCATCTGCTTATGGACTCGAAATTAATTTTAAGAAATCTAAATTTTAAATTTTTAAGTCGTAGAATTGAATTTCTTGGTCATGTCATCGAAAATGGTCAACTGTTCCCATCTCCTCTTAAAACAGCCGCTGTTATTAATTATCCTGAACCTAAAAGTCACAAAGACTTACAAAGTTTCCTTGGTCTTGCCGGATGTTTCCGTAAATTTATTCTCAATTTTTCCATAATTGCTCAACCATTAACTGATCTCCTTAAAAAGGATAACGACTTCCACTTTGGTGACAACGAAAGAAAAGCTTTCAATCTTTTGAAACAACGTTTATGTGGAAAACCCGTACTCAACATCTATAATCAGCACAGCGATACTGAAATACACACTGATGCCAGTATCAATGGTTATGGTTGTATACTCATGCAAAGGTCTATAATTGATAATTGCCTACATCCTGTTTATTACATGAACAAAAAGACATCTGACGCGGAAAAGAAATTTACCAGTTACGAACTTGAGATATTGGGTGTAATTCAAATTGAGAGTTTATCTTTTAGGAAAACACTTCAAAATTATTACTGACTGTAATGCATTCAAAATGACGATGAACGCATCAAACAAAAATTTTATATTCCTAAACTTAAAAATAAAATTGACAACTGTATTGCTAATTGTGTTCCTTGCATACTAATTAATCGTGAATGTGGTAAACAAGAAGGTGTGTTGCATTCCATATCCAAACAAGATGTACCATTTCACACATATCACATTGATCATTTAGGACCACTCAAGAGTACTTATAAAAATTACAAGTATATATTTGCTGTTATTGACTCTTTCACAAAGTTTGTATGGCTTTACCCGACAAAATCTACTGATAGCGCCGAAGTAATATCTAAACTGGAAAATCAAAAATTTGTCTTTGGAAATCCTTCGCGTATAATTTCAGATAAAGGCTCAGTATTTACATCAAAAGATTTTCAAGATTATTGTTCAACCAACAATGTACGCACATTCTAATTGCTACAGGACTTCTTCGTGCAGATGGACAAACTGAGAGATTGAATTCTGTCATAATTTGTGTTCTTTCCAAATTATCGATTCAAAATCCGTCAAAATGATATACACACGTCGGTGAAGTTTAGCAAGTGATAAACTCAACATACCAACGGAGTATCAATACAACCCCATTCGAACTCATGTTTGGAACTAAAATGAAATCTGCTAATCATGATAAAACTACAGAGCTGTTAAATGCAGAGATCCAGTCAGATTTCGTCAACGCTCGTGACGATCTTCGCAAGGAAGCTAAACAACAGATTTTGAAAATCCAGGCTGAAAATCGTAAAACTTAGAATCTGCGACGCAAACCATCCCGTAAATTCCAGCTTCATGATCTAGTGGCAATCAAGCGTACACAATATGAACCTGGTCTTAAACTGAAACCCAAGTTTCTTGGACCCTATAAAATCGTGAAAATCAAACCAAATGACACTTATGATGTTGAAACATGTGGTTCCTTCGATGGACCCTTGAAAACTAGTACTTGCGCCGAATTTATGAAACCTTTTACTTCATCAGAACATATTACTTAAACTTTAGTGTTTTATGGACAGTTACTCATATGAACTACTCTACATCTTTGGACTTTAAATCCTATCCATATTTTCTTTGATTATGATTACTAACCATTATTTTTTTATTTTTCTAGGTGCTGTTATTAGAAAATCCAGATAGAATATTATTTCCATTTATCTGTATTAATTTAGTATTTTCATTTATAGTTTAACAGTATTAGTATTTTTTCTTTTTACTTTTTACTTTTCTTAATTAGTAACTAAGTTCTTTTAAAGTCTTTTGCAATTACATACTTAACCGTGTAATATTAAGTATATCTGTATAATCATGTAACATTTTTAACTGCTATGCAATTGAACAATCGCCAAATACCTCATCAAAAATCTATTCAGTTTAGATAAACAAATACTGTCCGCATTGGTAGTCCGTCTCTAACAGGAGTTTAGGAATTACTAGATATGCTCGGTGGAGAGAGCTAAAAAACATGCTTTGTTCACATCCGTGGTCATGAACTATCTTCATTGTTTGCTATTACTACATTTTAAATGCAAGTAGACGAATTTTATCTTGGACTCAAAACAAGGAAATAATTTATCTTAGTAACACACTTTTTTTATTATAAGTATTTATAGGAACATAGAAACAACCAACCATTCCAACCATTTATAGAAATAACCAACCATTTCGTGCATCTTGGAGCAGGAGAAGAAAGAGGTAAGCCATTTTGCCATATCTGAAAAATGCTGCGAAATGTTCGTTTTCTAAAAATAGTAGTTATCTGGCTTCACCAGTTAATGCAATCTTCGCAACCTATCGAAGCTACAGAGCAAACACTTGTACTCCTGTCGCAATTTCAAACAACTGTTTATCTATGAATTTTATTTGGGATTAACTACGTTAAGAATTTACATTTGCTAAATCATTTGCGAGTGTTGTAATACAACGAATCAGTCAATAAATGAATGAAGTATTTTCTGACATAACTGAAAGCAAACCTAAAAATTGTAATTTTTTGACTGGTCAATATTAGGAAAAATTGATAAAAAGACGAGCTTTTTAACAGTAGTGCAATATAAAAAAATAAAAGAAATTTTACTCTATTGGTTACATTTTATTTTAAAATTTGCGAAAAGATAATTTCTATATAACACATATTTTATAAGAAAGCTACTTATGAAAGGGAAACACATCAACCATCTTTGTATGAAAATAGTCCACATGTATATTAAATGAGTATATAAAACATTACTTACTCCTCCAGCTAATGTTGTCGTATAATGAGGCTCGAGAGTAACATGTCCTTTATTCCTGTTAATCACATTGGAAACTAGGCCTACCCCAGAAGCGAAATAAAGCACACAGTACACAGCATAATAGCCTATTTCCTACAAATTTGTAAACTGAAGTATAATTACAACACATAACGCATTTACGTACTAATTTAATCTAAAAAGTAAAATATATATGAAATTTTTAGGCCATGCACTTTTATTAAATGCATAAAAGATAAACACATTTTTTTAGTTGCCATAATAATCTTTGTTATTTGTGACTGAAACATAAAACCGTGGGCTACTAACAGTCGCAAATTTTAAATTAAAATTATCAAGGTCAATTGAATGAAATCATTCTTATAAACGTTATGTCTGTTCTAATCTGTTAATTCTGAAAATTCTATTAATGTCTAATTCAATTTATACAGCACCCAATCATTTTATTTTTAATCACATGAACAAAAATATGATGGTTAAAAAATTATTTTATAACTTTTAGCATATTTAAAAATGGTTTAACCCCAAACTTTTTTATGTATTTTATTTTACGCTGTTTAGAAAATGCAGAAAAGTAATAATTAAAGAAAATCACCTGCTTTGAATGTAGGAAAATTATTCCTTCTAATGATAATAGCGAAGAAGTAAGCGCATCGTTTATTCAAGGTATTCCGATAGCGGAGCTTTACATTCAATTGATTCAAATTTCTGTATGCTTTAAGAATCATATCTCATTGTCACTTAGAGTACAATTAACAATCAAGTTTAAAATCATTTCATTTAAAAATCCATCACTGTGAGCAGCTGCATGATAATTAAAAAATTAGAATAATTACTGGGAATTCAACTAATTACTAGTCTGAAAAATTGCTTTAGAAATTGAGGATATTTAAAACTTAGTACATTTTTTAGAAATTTCTAAAATTTCCATTTAGAAGTAGATTGTTTTTCGATCAATTCGTAAAAAATGGAAATTCTACAGTTAAACGTTTGATCGTTAAAATGAGAATATCGAAACATCCAACGCTAAATAAATAAATAATAAAAAAAATTTAACTAATTTTGAAAACATTCCTCAGTAATCTTCTACTGTCATCGCAAAAAGCTTTGAAGAGAATTATGTCGGTAGATGAAGATCAAATTTTATTTTTAAGATTTGACCCAAACGAAAAAAACGGAGAAAAAACAAATAAAGCTGAGTAAAAAAGCAGTGGTTAAGCTAAGTGCTCATTTATGATTTTAGTTGCTCTGTATCTTAAAAATGGAAATGCACACTGCTTTAAAAAAAAAAAAAAAAAAAAAAAAAAAGGACAGTTCTATATCTTTCGGGTACTTTTCCGTTTTGCCGGCGCAAGCGATAAAATCCCCAATAATGGGACAACCGATGCCAAACGGAATGTTCTCGCTGGTAACCTTTTACGCCTCATTTTCAAAACAAGTCGCAGCTTTTTTCTTATCAGATTGATTGTTTCTTTCAATACTGGCATATCATTACATAGAATTTTTTAGCAGATATTCAGTTTTATTCAAAAGGCAATTTTCGGTAATTAGTCAATAGATGCAATCACAGCGTTTACCCGAAGCCGAAAATATAGAAAGGTAATGTCAGGGTTAAATTCATCAATTCTAATGAGAATGCATTAGCGAAGTAAGCACTGCAGTTTTACATAATTTCTGAGTAAGTTATTCGTACGAAATTGAAATATTCTTGCATTCCAAATTAAGATTTAACAGGAAATTAATGTAGATAATTACTGAGAGCATTAGATTTTTGTAGAGTAGTTTACGTGACAGAGATCGCTTGGTCACGTATATGAACCGGCGAATCAGGATGTTGAACCATGAAAGCATAGTAAATTCTTAAATTAATGTCTTTTTACAATTCTTGTCTTTATTTATTGGCTTTTTATAATTTTAAGCGATATTAACATGTTTATGCCTTCTTTTTTAAAAGAATTCTTAGAACTAACATTTTTAAATATTTTTTATGTGTATACTGTATGTTGTCGCCAATAAAGTCTGCTTGGCGAGATTTGCGCCGGCGAAACGGAAAAGTACCATCTTTCGTTATACTGGGCTGATTGACAAAATTCAAATTGCGTTTTTCATGTTCCTAAAGCGCGACTTAGGATATATATTAGATATATATATATAGCATTCTTCTAACATAGGTATTTTGACACAAAATCGGACTTTTTCTGAAATAACATACCAATTTTTGGTACTATTCCGTTTTGAGGACCGTAAAAAATTGCAGCGAAAATATATGCGCAAAGCGCCAAATCTAGCAAACGCGCCCATTTAACACGCGCCAAATCTACGTACCGCTGATTCAGATTGCGTAAGTTTATATAGTTCTATATTTCTTAAGACGCCATTGAAATACTAGTTTAATTTTAAATCCTTTTTTTTTTTTTATTTTAAAAATCCTTTTTTAATATCTTATGGATTTAACATTTGGGAATTGCCCATGACGAAAAGTCGGCAATAGAATTTTGGGGCAAAGTGCAGAAATCACCCACTGTTTGACGCGTTTTTAAGAATTGCACATACTCGGTATCCATGTACACATCAACTATTTTCACTTAAAAAAACATCCCAGAATTGCACAAAATGGCATTGTGCATTCCTTTGACTTTATCCATGTACACATCGCCCTATTTTCACTTGAAATGTCAAAGAAAATTGACAAAATCCAATTGTTTTAGCCTTGTAACAGCGGCAAACAATAAGTGGGCGATTCTGCACTTTAACCGAGATATTTTCAAAGAAAGGCATTATTCATCATAGAGAATTACGTTTGAAAAACCAACGAGATGAAATTATGCTTTAGCGATAAGTCGGTAGCGAAATAGCGATGCAGACATTCATTCAGTTATGTTTAGCAATTCTTATATAAATTATAAATAAATTATAATAAATGATCTGAAATAGTTTATTACACTTTTGCTTCCATTCAGTCATGTTTAGCCTTTTTTATATAAATTATAATAACAAAAAGTATTATATAAAATTACCTTCTTCTAAATTAAACATAATCTTAGATAGTTATTTACTATTATACTTCCTTTCTTGCCGCAATTATTTTTGGCAGCTTTGGCATCAACAATAGTTTGGCGATTTTTACGGCCCTCGAAACCGAATAGTACCCAATATTTTTCCATATTTCGATTCTACGACTCAAATTATGCCTAGATATTAAATTTTGTAAAATTTGGTGTGAAACTTACGGAAAAATTAAAAATTTACATTGGCGCAATTTTTTCAGTTTGCGCCAAGAATAATTCACTTGGCGCACTTTTTAATATATGGCAACCAATTTTCCTTTCTCTTCCATTATGCCGGAGCGGAAAAAAAGGCAGTTCGTTTCTACCTTTTTGCATTGTGCATGAGCGGAAGTCACATCGTTCTTAATTTACAATAATGTCTAAACCCCATTTGATGTTTTATCACTTTCAACAAATATGCCAAATTTCAAAATGTGCTAATATATAAATTCACGTATATCTTCGGAAATTTTGAGTAAAAAAAACTTTAATTTTTTGCAAGTATGCTTAGAAATACGACTACTTTAGGATAATGGTAAAAATTTTATAGATTATAATTCAAAATTTTTTTCAGAAAAGTTTTTTAAATTATTAAAAATACGAATCTTAAAAATAAATCATAAAAAATGGGTAAATTTTATTTGGAATGAACCTAAATTCCAAAATGTGAAAGGAAGAGTCAAATAACTTTAATAAAAAAGAGAGATTATTAAATATATATCAAACTCAATTAACACTGAGGAGCTAAAATTTTAAGAGCTAATTTCTTAAGAACTACTCGTGCGATTTTTACAAAACTTGGTAGTTTGGCGTAATTTGAGTCGTAGAATCGAAATAGGGAAAACAATTGATATGTTATTTCAGAAAAAGTCCGATTTTGAGTCAAAATACCTATACGAGAACAATGCTATATATAAATCTAATACATATCCTAAGTCGCGCTTTCGAGGCATGACTACTGGGCCGATTGAATTTCGTCAATCGGCTCAGTAGAAGAGCAGATATAGAACTGTCCCCCCTTTTTTTCGCGGTGTATAGTAATACAATTTTCGGTATTGATGTAGTATGCGTTTTACAGATTTATTTAACTATTTGTTCCTTAGATGCTATTTTTAAATGGGAAAATTAGTATAAATATTTAAGAATGCATAAATGAAAATAATTCCATTAACTGATTTAATAACTCATTTAATTTTTAAATCATTTAAATTTAAATTTTAGCGGCTTCAAAACTCAATAATAACAGCTATATAAAACAAAAATTCATTAGCTTTCATATTCGAATGCTCAATAAAAGGTGGCGGAAAAACTGATGAAAACTACAATTAATTTTTTAGGAGCCATTTAAGCAATAAATAACTAACTAAAAGCGGTAAATCGCACACTATATCAATAACTAATGTTTTCAACAAAAGGTTATTTTGAAAACATAGTTAGTTTTACCAAAACTTTTCTAGGTATGTTGGAAAGAATTATACGTCATAAAACGGATTAAAATTTATTAATGTTAAGTAAAAAACTGATTTTTAATACTTATGTATTAAGTGATACTCATATTATGCCAATTGTCACTGACGACAAATTTTCTTTAAATATATGTCTCACTGGCGTTTGGTTATGAATATTCCAATGAAACTTCGATAGATTCAGGAAAGCAATTTAAAATAATTCAAGACTTTCTTCATAAAACAATGATTTCGCATGATAGTAATAATACTAATAAGAAGAGATATTTATACTTTAAAATAAAACTATTACTTACATATGATGTATTATAGAGCACTTGGTTGGTTTTGCTTGATAGCACACAACAAAAGACGAGAAGAGTAGCATTAGTAAAGGAACTACAAGCGACAACAAACAGGAATGTATCCGCCGGATAACACAAGAAATATTCTGGTAACTTTCGAGTTGTATACAACTGGCAGGCAACAGAGATCATTATAAGAATTATTAGATTTAATACCTAAAGAAGAAAAAAATTGATGAAATAATATAATCATTCTGTTACAGTCAACTTGGCTACTAAATGCCGGCCAGAAATGACTGATTTTAATAACTGAAAATATTGCTCAACTCTTAATGGTAACTATTATGCTACCGGTGCTTCTCTACTTACATCTTTTCAAATCAACAGCCTTCAGATTTATGAACAAACTTTTCTGCACGGTCAAGTTACGAAAACTACACTAATTCAGAGAAATAACTTCTCCTGGCTTTCTAAGTTTAGTAGAAACTCACGTATATTACTGACATCGGTCATGCAAAGTAGTGACAAGATATTTCTTCTTCAGTTGGCAAAATGCTAAATTCATGCCCCTGTAGGAAGTGGAAGTTAATTAAGTCTGAAACTTTCATATCCAACAGCAGTAATTACAGTCACCTTCAGATTAACCAGCTGAGGATTAACCAAATGCGGAGCCTTTTCTAAAAAATTCTGATGTGGACATCCTATGACTTCCTTTCACGGCCTATTAAATATTCTTTTTAGAACAATAATAAACTGGGATTAAATATTGTTAGATTTTTTACAGCAATAATCTGATATTAAGTAGTGTTAGACTAGCTAAATATATTGTATCATTAAATATATGTTTTCGTTCTTTGCCAAAATACGAGTATAATATATTTCTGGATATATATATTTCTGGATAGCCGTTATTTGCCAAAATATAATATGTTTTCGTTATTTGGCAAATTTTTTTTTTTAATTTGACGTTGCCAAATTATGAATATTTTCGGCATTTAAAACACTAATACAATCGGAAGCGTATGCCTAGGACCAACGAATGCAAAAATAAAGGACATTTAAGCTAAGTAAGGGTTATATATAATATATATATATATGGGTCTTTTCCGTTCGCCGGCGCAAACCTCGCCATTTCCCTTCTCCGCGCAAATCTCGCAAGCAGACTTTTATTGGCGACAAACAAGTATACACATAAAAAATGTAACAAATGTTAATTCTAAGAATTTTTATTATTTTATTTTGGAGGCATAAATATTTAATATCGTTTCGAATTTTTCAATGGTCTTTGTGTCCTTCGCACATAAATCGGCGAGGTAACTTTCCGATGGATGCCGACGTTCTCTGTGTTTTATTCCGCCATTTTTGTTCACCATAGTCTTTCAATTTTTGCGTGTGCGGCAAGTTTCGATCTACAAAATTGATCTTTTCCTCTCTAATATTTTTCAGTGCAAATTATTCCATAAACGATACATTGTGTTCTTTTTCGATGTTTTCATTTATGCTCTGATATATACTCATGGATCGTTGGAACCCACAAGGAAACATCGTTGGTTTCCGACAAACTCCACCAAAGACCTGTGTGGGTAAAATCCGTCCGGTTGTTTTTGCGCTCGTGAACTACTTCATCACTTCAACATTCATACAGGTCCTCCTATTTTGCGTTGTTGACGTTAACTAAGAATCCACAAAACCTTCGCATGTATTATTCCAATCCACAGTGTTCTTGACTGATTTCCAACTGCTTTCACACCATAACTGAATAATTCTTCACTCCAACCATAATGATCTTAAACCTGCAAGAAACTCAATCTCGATGATTCAAACCATGTGCCTTTCCGTATATTCTTTATGCGCAGTTAAAAGGTTGCAACGCATTGATTTGTCTCCGAAATATAATTCATTTCTGATTATTTTAAAAAAGCAATGTTAGGCAAAACGCCTTTCGCTGAAAGAATCTGACGGATTCTTCCTCTGTCTGGCAATCCCTAATTTTCATGTTTTCATTCCATTTTGACATATTTTAAAAAACGTTATTAAGATTTAACGACGTTAAATTAGATTTACTATGCTTTCATGGATAACCTCTTGATCGCGCGGTTAATATCACGGTCCCAACGATCTCATCTCCGTAAAATCCGCTACAAAATCTGATTCTCTCAGGAAATTAATCTACAACATTAATTTCAAGTTAAAATCTCAGTATGGATACGAGTTGAAATTTAAAAAAATGTCACGACTTAGTTCAATATTATAATTAAAAAATTCTATGTAAATTGTATGTCAATATTGCAAAAAAAAAAGTAAATCTGATAATAATCCAGCGACTGTTTTGAAAAAGTGTCCGCGAAAGGTTATCAGCTAAGATATTCGCTCTGGCAATCAGTTCTACTTTTCGGCGACTTTATATCGCTTGCGGCCGGCGAAATTGGAAATTGCGCCGGCCAAACGGAAAAGTACCTATATCTGTGTGTGTACTGTAAAGAAATATAAGAAAATATACATATATATTATAAAGAAATATAAGAATATATATATTATAAAGAAATATAAGAATAAAACACCTTCAAAATTTTAAAGGAATTTCAAAATTTTTACAATTTATTACACCTTTACTATCTATCTATCTATCTATCTATACATATATATATGTTACTGTGAAAGAACGAAACTGGAGACTGTCAGCATATGCCAAATACGTCGGTGAAAGACCGAACATTTGGTTATATTCTTATACATTCGGACCATCACAGATATACTGTGGTGGAGATTGAAAAGATAAATCGAGTTCAACAGAGGGGCGATTGTCTGCCGCCAAATGCTTTGCTCTGCTGCGATTGAAGTTATGTAGCATGTACGAGTACTATTTGTTACACTCTGGAACACTGTTTGTCAGTCTTATGCTAGGTTTGATGGTACGCGCAACGTTTTCTTCTTCTTCTTCTTCTTTTTAATCCAATACCCTAATTTATGTTGAATGGATACTGCAGTGAATCATGAACTTTTCCTTGAAAAGTTAAATGCATTAATTGCGAGTAAACGCGAAGCCAACTGTTTTTATTTTTCAAACACATTTCTTCTCCTCACCGGGATTGATTACTCCTTATGAAACTATGTTTGGCATTAAACCAAGAGGCATAGCATTTTTTTTTTCTTGGCGAACAAATTGCAAATATTGAAACCGAAGAACAACTCTTAATAAATTGCTAACACTTTTGAAACCGAAGAACAGCTTGAAGAAACTGTTAATACTTTTGAAGAAAATCTGAGCAGTGGCATGTTCCAAAATATATATGAAAGAGGACCTGCAACCTACTACTTCTTCATATCAAGCCCTGACTGAACACGAGTTTATTTCCAAAAAATATCGGCCGCGAAAGAGAATCTTCTTCTGCAAGCAACGAAAATATTACGAACCTCAAAAAAAAAATTTCTTCCTGCTCAAACTGGTGATACCGTACGAATACAAGTCCGTGATGTCGACCGTGGTCGTAGTGATGGCCGAAATGTGTCTGCAGTTGTTGTTGGAAGAGAAGACTCCGATTTTTATAAACTAGCAAATAAAACTGGCACCTTCAAGCAGCTTTATGCCCGTAATCAATTCGTAATTTGTAAAGAAAATTCACTTTCCATAGCTGAAATTTCTTCTCAAGAATTGTCGCTGAGAGAAGCAGCTGCATGCTTAATTTATAAGTAGAAGCAAGGCTACCACGCTGTCCACTGAAAAGAAAGTGTTCCGACACTCATGCATTTGTAAAAGCAAGGGACTTCTTGTGCAATTTTAAAAAAATGCCATACAATTTTATGATGTTGCCTAAATAAGATTTTCAGTCACATAATTACGAGGGGTGATCCAAAAAAGGTTTACAAGGCAAATGAAAAATATTTAGTAAGTAATAGAAACAGAACAATATACAAATTGGAATCAAGAAACACATCTGGCCTTCACTTTTCCACATAGTCGCCAAACCTGTTTAGGCATTAATCAGAACGTTCGACCAACTTGTTTATCCCGTCTTGGTAGTTATCAGGGACCTGCTCATTGAGCCATTTCTCGGCAGCTGTTTTCATTGCATCGTCTGAGGTGAACCATGTTCAGGATAAGTATCGCTTCAACGCAGGAAAAATGAAATAGTCACTTGTAGCCAAATCGGGGATGTATGGGGGGAGGTGATTCCAGACCTCCCACTTGAACCTTTGAGAACGACGCCTTTGCTCACTAATCCAGGCCTTCTGCGTCGGAAGGTGTCACAATAACGATCGGCCTTAATAGTATGGCTACGCTCCAAATACTAGATTAGGATAACACCAGTCGTATCCCAGAAAACGGTTGCCATCACTTAACCAATTATAACCGCAAGGTTGTGACCTTAACTTCCTTTCTTCCTCTTCGGATCCAGCGTGTTTCCACTCCATCGTGGCTCTTTTGGAAGTGGGGGTGAAGTGATGAAGGCCATGTTTTCACATCACCCCGCTAACGTGCGATCCACACAATGAAGTGTTTGGCAGTCTGAATGGTATCGCTGAAGACAATTTGAGGCTGCAACATCATTCAGTGGCCGATGCCTCGCGCGGACAAACGCCGTGTGCCCAGCGGGCACAAAACGTTGAATATCGCACTCATCGTTTACGATACTCTGGACCGTTTACATAGCTCAGGTCCATCTCCCGCAGGGTTACTTGTCGATCCCTTTGTATGATTTCTTTCTTCAGACTTCACACGTCGTGCCGTGTTGGATATCATCCGTCCTTGAAGAACGTGGACGGGCCGCTCGCGTTATGCCATATTGGCGTTTTTCCCTTCCATGCCTCTCTCCCTGCCCACTTGATAAGACGACAAAAACCATTTCTTGGCTGCTACTTGTTGTCCGTCATTGGTTTGTCCCCTATACTCAACGATTTGGTCTGTGAATTCGGATGCGGCCCATTCTTCTCTGGCCCATAAGAACGAATTCGGGCTCGCACATCGATGCGAGAACCAGTTTTCTAGACGTTTCGCCCATTACTGTCGCTTCTTAAAAAATGTCCGTACTGCGCCACTACTTACTCTAGAAATAGAAACCGAAAAAACCGCGTAGGACAACTACGCCCATCCCTTTCCACCACCCTGGTGGAAATAGCCTTTAGAAATTATTACGTTTCAAATGGCTTCTTTCTGCTTCTGCTTGTAAATAAACCTTTTTTGGATCAGCCTTCGTAGTTTTGATTTTGTGGATTAT